TTAGAAATAATTATAGCACTCTGTAATGTAAATTAAAGTGAAAGCTCATTGAAAGAATTAATTATAGTGATAATGATTGTTTGAATCAGTGATATTTAAAAAAAATGCATCCTATATATATAATTATATTACATATGAAATAAATTTAGGAGCTTCTCCCCAAAAAATCGCCAAAAATTTAAAATGAATAAAAAAAGGCTTTAAAAACTACATCTGGCAAATATGTACGATTATTACTGACATTTCAGTGAAATCTTACTGCCATATCAGTGAGACATACGACGGACGAGCAAAGTGTAAGTGTTTTCATTGAAGATTAGTGAAATATTCGTTGATCTTCGGTGACATCTTGCATCGCCGCTTCGATCAGTGACATTTTCACTGATTCATTTTAAAGGTGCAAAGTTTTACTTTTATAAAGACACACTTATACGAGATCGTGGATCTCTCGACACAAAAAAAACAATAAGAACTTACGGAGACGTGCGGTCCGGAACGACCGAATCGAAGACGCAGCGATGGAGATCGCTGCGACTTGCGGATCATCAGGTGCTCCAACGGGATGCCGCCAAAGCCAGCGTTATCCAGCGCATTGCGTTGCAGCAGAAGCCTGGCGAGATCGTGGATCTCTCGACACAAAAAAACAATAAGAACTTACGGAGACGTGCGGTCCGGAACGACCGAATCGAAGACGCAGCGATGGAGATCGCTGCGACTTGCGGATCATCAGGTGCTCCAACGGGATGCCGCCAAAGCCAGCGTTATCCAGCGCATTGCGTTGCAGCAGAAGCCTGTAGAACTCGTGGATGTTGTCCGCAGGCGTTTTCTCCGCCATCTCTTCTGCAACATATATACAATCGCCGATTTTCCATTGAATGAGATGAATGACGAGGTAACATGTCCTGTCTTTTTCTCGCGATATCGTGAACAATGTCAATATAATGCATGCGCGAATCCCGTTTTGCCAATCTTTGCCAGAATTTAAACTCGCATATATCGGTTATCACATCACGTTTCTATCATGTTTCGATTACTATTATCCTACTGCGAACGAATTTTCATCGAGATTCGTCATCGAATCTTTTTCTATTATCGAGAGATCAATCAACAGTTGTCATACTTTAATTATGTCTTGGAAATTAACAGCGTGTTTTAAAGACGTTAACAGACTCCGTTTTGATCAATATTTGCGTTACGATATCTATCTTACAATTTTGAAAATAAAAAATGTTTATCGTCGATAAACCATGCGATCTTTTCCCACGATATGCAGGTGTCACGTCTTCTTTCAGAAAAATGTAAATCAAGTGCGAGCGCCTTCATTTTTTATGCGAAAATGGAGAGAAAGTATGACGCTTTTTATAAGTACATCCGTTTTATGCGATATTAAAACGCTTTACGATAAGTAGCGTTCTCCGTATAAAAGCGTACAGCCATACGAATTGGTGGGCGTTTATACAGCTATACTATCGTATATAATGCGTACACTATCGTTATAACGATTATTTACTTTTATTAGTTCGCATAGAATCGTCTTATGAAAAAAAAAAAAAAAAAAAAAAATGTTTCATCGACGATGGTAACGTTACCCGACGTATCATTACATTCAGAAGTATTGGCGTTTTTATTATATAGTATCAATATCACCCTTTAAAAAGTGATCTCTTCGAGATTATAGAGACAGAATAATTTCTCGTAAATTTTTTAAAAGAGAATGAGATCTGAAATTTGAAACGATGAGCTTTGCCGTTAATTTTTATTTGTCGTTTTATTTTATTAAAATATCGAGAGTTGCAAATTTTGAAACTACGTATTTTTATGTAACAAAAAAATGGACATATGTATTTTCAGTTATTTTCGGATAACGTTTTGATAAAAGCTACGGAGGTAAAAAGCGGCGTTTATATATATATGTATATTAACAATATGTGTCGACCTTGCGAGAATACAGACGATGGAATTTTCCCGCACGTTTCGATATCCCACAAAGGCAAATAGATAACCATTTTCCGATTGGACGGGCACTTTTGAACTTTGTGAAAAACTTGCGTGATAAAAATTCGAGAGCGCGATGTAAAACATATGCGGTTTTTCATCGAAAACCGCAACGCTCGTGCATACAATCGACCACAGTAGTTTCTCGCGAAACAGAATGCAAAAACAAAAAAAAAAAAAAAAAAAACAAAAAAAAAAAAAAAAAAAAAAAAAAAAAAAAATACCAGAGAAGAATCTATCGCAAAATTACAATATTTTGCGAATTAATATAAGAAAAATAAAATCGACAGCACGCGCGAGTTTAAATGTAGATAAGGCCATTCAACACACCTGTTGACTATTGTAACGCTATCATTGCCTTTTCTGCATATATAATGCGCATGATCGTGTTACGTAAAATTTTATCTTCGTGGAACTAAACAGCCTGCTCTTACTTGGCTGTATAAATAGGCTGTATAATTTTCTAACGCGCTTTCGATAAATAATACATTGAAACTACGGAATATATCGTTTCGAGAATAAAACTGACGCTTTTCTTCTTTAAATATTCAAAAAAAAAAAAGAAATGATTAATCGAAATACGTGTATATATTAAACTATATACAACCGACCGGAACTAATATCAAAGTTTGTGCTGCTCGATCGAGCGCTTTTACCGGGGAAAAAAAAAAAACCGCGTATTTGGATTCGTCCATGCATGAGTCCGTCACACGATTGAAACGTATCGATCATAAATGCCTATGTGCGACAAAAAGATCCCAACCGATAACTCGTCTGAAAACGGCGATGTCGTGACGAGAGAGATTGTTGCGCGACAGAAACACGATCTTCTTACGAGCAGATTTTATTGAATGGAGAGATTTTGACTGATCGCGCGCGGCATTTGGGGCAGAGTGACACGTGGGGGCGATCAATGTCGGACCATAACGAGGTCTATCTTTTGTGCGCGACGCGAATAATATTCAATCTCTAATCATTTGGATAGTAACCGCGTTTCTGTCAATAAACAAGACTAAATGAATGCTTCGAGTGAGGAATTGTGTTCCCATACTCATGTTTAACGTTCGATTCGCAGAAATTCGTAGAAAATTATTTCTATTAATTTAAGTAATATTTTATTTTTTTTGAATAAGCATCCTCCTTCCCTTTGAGTTTAATCAAGATTATTCAAGTTTTTATTTTTTTCCGAAATATGTCTCTGTGTAAAACTTCTTAATTCTTTAAATTTTGTTGCTTGAATTTTCTCGAATTTTATTGCACAAGTTTTTCACTTATGATTATTTAATATTTAATTTTATTAATCTGTCGTTAAAGTGTCTCGCATTATTTTGATTAAGCTTTATCTCTCGCTAAATGTCTTTCATTTTTAATCGTGAAACTCTCTCTATTTATATCTCTTAACATTTTATTTTACAACAATTTACTTTATATAGGTCGGTGAATATGTGTCAACTACGGTCGCGAATTGTGAGATACTCTACGCATTATGATATATAAATTACTGAGTAAATTATTCTACAGATATACGTGAAGATGAAAAGATAATCTCCTGTAAATATAACGAGATCTATTAACGAGTACAATATGACGGAAGATTTAATTAGACTTATGTTCTTCTATAATCATCTCTAGAAGCCGGTGGCTCTTAATAAGTCATCCTCTGCGATCATTAATTATTGTAGTGGTAGACGAAGTTGGCGACGGTCTCGCGTTGATACGTGGCATTACCGGTAATGGAATACAAAACGCGTTATCATGCCAAGTGAGAGTAAAACTTTAATGGGACTTACAGCACAGCGAGGAAATAGCTTAGAAATACACGGAGTTATATCGGGGAAGCGAGAAATATTATAAGAATTGAGCAGTATGTCGCGGATTTGTCAAACGAGATATTTCAAACAAGTTTCAACGAAGATATAAGAAGCTTATTTCATAAATGACGCTATAATCCATAGGTACATAGTCCTCAATACTTAGATGTATAATGCGAATAAAATTACCTAACGCGTCGTATCAGTTTTAGTAAGATCGATTTGAAAAATGCAAAGTCTTTTGCCAACAATAATTTGATGATCCATTTTTTTTTTTGCACCGGCGAATTAATTTTAAAATTAATTATAAGAAAGGAGAAAGGATGTAAAAATACCAAATAATTAAACAATACGAGTTTATCAATAATTGATTTTTAATTAATCATAATCAGCAATCGATATTAATGTTTGATGAAAGAGGGAGGAGAGGGAGGAGAGAGTTTCTCGCGATTATGCAATTGCATCGATTAGAAATAAAAATCTGAAACTTGAAAATTTCAAGAATTTTAAAATTTTATTCGGGAAACGTGTAATACTCACCTCCGTAATCCATGTAATTCTCGGTAGCGTTTACGAGGCCGACTGTCACGACGAGAAGAACGAGGGCGGCGCAGCGTTTAGCGTACATGGCGCTCATATTCTCTGCAATCAAGCAAAGCGGATTCCCATTTATTCTCTACGGTTGATTTCGCCTAATCTAACGAGCTTTTCAATGTATCGAGGATACGCGCATATGTATAAACCGTGTTATCTAATCGCGCAATGAAGGGTTTTTTACGCTGTGAGAATAAAAGATCGAATATCTATTCATAATTTGAACGCAACGCGATAAAATGCAGTGCGTATAATTTCGTTTCACTCTATAGGGAGATCTTCTTGCACTTTGCGTCTACAAAAATTATACAACCCTTCTTGACACAATGATATCGCGAACGTTTGATAAATGAGGAAAGATAAATTCAAGATCGCCTACGGTAACATTCGTCGAGTACGGACTTTGCCGTTGAATAACATCGCCGGTACAAGAAACGTTGCCTTTAGAAGCGCAAAATCCCCAAGTGTGTCGTTGTAATAATTTTATCGCGAAGAACATTTCACTAAATCATCTTCCTGTCTATCGTAAAGAGCCACCGAAATATAACTCGTTCCAGAGTCACTCGGTTAATTCGCCTCTCTTATTACGTTAATATGTACACAAATCTACATTATGTAGATATACTATAAATTTGAATTATTTTATTGTGCTTATATATATTTTAACGTAAAGTAGTTTTCTTATGTGAGTTCTTACAATTGAATCATTTGTTTCTGAATGAAGCTATTTATCGGAAATTAAAATTAGAATAAGAAGAAAAAATATGATGCATAAAAATATATTTGCATAACTATTATAAATGTTAGATCTTTTATCTTTTGCGGATCACTGCGTTCTTTTTTTTTTTTTTTTTAATGCTCCTTTCGTTATTTTTATTTTTAAGAGAAATATTAAATTGCAACGAGAGAAAATAAAATGAAATTAATGAATAATGTAAAAATTATAGTTGCACGTTATAATGGAACATTAATCTGTAAATACTTTTAAAAAAGTAAATATTTTACGAGAAAACAATTTATACGCTGTATGTGTATATAATGATTTTTTATATTTTTTTTATTGAAATCGATATTCAGTCTCGAAAGACTGAAAAATTATTCGATACTTGCGGAAATACATAATTCGTAAATTACATCGTTTATCGAAAGATTTTTTCGATTTTAATTAATATAGTGTGTATACTATTTTTTTATAATGTTTTAAATTTTTATCAAAAGTTCAGGACAATTTTTCATCGTCAGCTTATACGTCGTCATTGATTAATTTCTGGCATAGGACGAATATTGGTAGTTTTTTTATTAACAGATAAGAAATAATACTTCAAGAACATAATTTTATCGAGAAAATCTATTAACTCATTTTAGAGCATGAATTGAAGTGCACCCACGCCCTCGATTCACAAGAGGTCACGTTATCGGTGTCATCAAAGATAAAATATTAACAAGCCACACATATTTCTATGTACCCGGTATACCTAGTCAGCTATCTTACTATAATATTTATATTGTGTAATGTCTCGAGAGTGTGACAAAAAGTAGAAAAAAAAAAAACCATCAGCCCCATCGATCCCGCGCTTCCTGAATAATTCATCGAATTATAATTATGATCCTTCTTAGAGGCTGGTCGCGTCTACCGTGAAACGACGTGCACGGATTACGCGGCTGTAGAATTAAGTACAAATACGTCTGTTAATTTTTCCTTGCCGCGACATTAGATTGGATGACACATTTGTTAACGATGTCGCGTGAACGTACACGACATCCCCGCATGGAAATTATTTCCAGACATTTCGCGCACTATAATAAAATTATATAACGTGACTCAGAATGAGGATATATTACATATATACAGAGGTCGCGGATCTATATTACAATGTGCTTACGCACTGTAATCCAGAGGTACAACCCTCATTAATGCGCGACCGCGGGACAAGAGGTCCTCACACATATGTAACACCTGTGCCGATGCCGATGCATATTCGATCGTGAAATTTATGCATAAGCTAATGAGATATGAAATTCCGGAGATGCTACCTGCATATTTGCATAAATAAATTATCCCAAACCTAACGATTTATCCCTCTTCGTTTCGTCATCGACAAATATGACGTTGCTCTAAAGTTTCCTTTTTTTCTTTATCCTTATTTTTAATCACAACGGCAAATGTATGAATATTACGTTTAATTTACTTAAGATAAAAATTACATTAATGCAAATGTAACTTTCATTCCCTTGTCGCTCTCTGAAGTTTCATTACAAATTCTCAGATTATTAATGTAAAGACTATTAACATTCAAACAATATTGCAACTCATCTAAAGAGAAGATTACGAGTTTTTCTATTCAAGAATACAGATTATATTATGAATAAATTACGCAATGTTATATTTTCATTTTTCCACAAGCGAGAGAATCGCACAAAAGAAAAATAACGAAAATATTGTGATATTTGTTTTCTATTTTATGCATTTGTAAAAAACTCTTGTTGCATTTGTGAATTTTAAAACCATTTATTATAAATTTATTTACGCAATCAGAACTATATATTTAAATAAACGACATAAAAATTCAAAAAAAATTTTTTACAATATTTGAGATTCAATATATATTCAATGTATTTGGCATATTTTTTCATTTCAAGTATTTTCGTAAAATGGATATTTTTTCAATTTTATACGACTATTACCATGCAGAGATCAATGTAATTTGCGTCGCTGCAGTTCTAACTGTCGTGGTATATACGATGGATCCCAAGTTGTCGATCTCAATTCATTGCCAATTGTATGGGCGCGTTATAACATATGACATATTGATTACTCACACCGCATTTATCGGGATAAATCCGTATAATCGCTTCATGATATTCGATATTGAACGTATGTACACATATGTATCGGACAGATATAATACACGCTTATGCATAATTGATTTATAACGCGTAAATGCGTTTCTCAGCTGTATAACGATTTCATATATACACAGATTATTTCATAAGATTTTAAATCTTCGCATATATTGCGATAAATTTGAAGACAATTTGTCTTTATTGAAAATTTAATAGCGCGTTATTGTTTCGCAAATTCAATTTCAAATGAGTTTTCATTGAATGTAATCTCAATAACCACGATTTTAATTAAGCTCCCGTTAAAACAGTATGATTCTTAAAAAGCCGAGTTTCTGTAGAGAATGAAAGAAAAAATAGATAAGAATTGTAAATCTCTCTTCGAAATTCTTGGATATTTTAAAGACTTCCTAGAAATGTGTATCTTTTAAATATGTTTTGAATTAAAATTAATTTGACACAATTTTTAAACACTAAAAAATATTTACATATTAAAAATTCTCTTCTTATTATTGTTAACGAGCAAACAGATTAAACGGTGATCTGAAAATTCCAAAGCTTCTTAACAGATGACACTAGCTTAGAAAAATATTCAACACATTCCTCAATCTTAATTAAGGGCAATTTGCTTGTCGTGCTTCCTAGAATAATAATTGCAATAATTGCCCATCCTACTCGGGATGTGCAGGCTTTTAAAGAACGTAAATAATTTACGGGTACCTTAAGATAGTGCAATGATATTTTTCCTTCACCGACTATCCTTTGCCTGTGCAGATACTTTGTATGTGTGTAATACCACTTACAAGTCTTTTAATATATTTACTTGCCAGCCTTCCAGGAAGAGGTAATTAAATTTTTGTTGTATAATCAGTATCGGTAACCAAGCAAGTAAAGCATATCGCGATAAAAAAAATCGATTATTTTATCACTGTCGTAATCCGGTCTCCGCGTGACGATCGCGATAATTGTTCCCTGCATTAATTAATCATTAATCAAACGTCTTAATAAGCGTACAATAAGAAGGCAAGGAGCATAACTTGTTGCGCAATAACGAGATAAATCGATTTTATCGGGTTATTGATTTGGGGTACATGGCGGAATTAAATTTTAAAAGCTCTTCTCTCGAGCGTCTCAAGAAATTTTTCGCTCGTGCAATGAATACTTCGTATATCTACGGGGTATTGATATTTCAGCTTTCTACAATTACTTACTGTCCCGTTAAATTTTCAAGCTACTCGCTTACACCGGGTGACTTTGATTACATCGGGTGCCCACGACGTATACGCGCCGGAGGTGACGTGTAAGTTAAATGAATTTTAGTCGCACAATGGAATCGGTATTTAACACTCATTGTCAGTGGAGTGTGTGTCTCTACACGCGCATTTCTCGGTCGAGAAGTTTGATAAAACATGAACGTATAACAGAAACTACTTTCTACGCATACGAAAAGCGGATTTGTAAATTTTTGCGACTCTTGTTATTTGTGAAAATAAATATTCCATAGAAGAAGAGAAAGAAAATAAGAAAATTTGTACACACATTTTATTTAAAATTTATTTGAAAATTAAATGTTAAAATATTAAATTTACTTTTATAATATAATTCGTGAGTTGCATAATAGCATGATAGAGAAAAAAATGACAAGATGCATAAAAAATTAAAACTGATATTTTGTTTAAAAAATGAAGTATAGTCATTAAAGAAATAGTGAAAATAATAATATACAGATGGCAAAATTTTAAAATTTTCTATTTAAAATTATCTTATGATTGACTGCAAAAAATACTTCCGTTCGCCCAAAATCCTTATAATTAATTGTTTTTATTCAAGTTTGTTGTTTCATGTGTAATATTCGTGTAAGTGGTCCTAAACATTTCTTTTTTGAAATTTTATTTTGAGTCTACAAAGAATCGTATCAAATAAATGAAATATTGGAAATTGAAATTGTTATATTATTATATGTATGACAATAATATCATAATAAAGCTTAAATTTAAATCAGCAATAACGTTTTATATCACGTTAAACACGTGTAATCTACACAATATACAGTAACATAACGCGTGTATATGTGTGTGTATTGAAAATAATTACACAGATTTAATCAAATCATTCTGCAATTTGCAAATATCCAGCCAATCGTGTAGCCTGTATAATCCAGCTACAGGATATCAATCTTTCTTTGTCCTCTGTTTTATACCTTTGACCTACGTTAATAATTTATCACCCATTATGTTGCGATAAAAAAGGATAATGATTGCCTGACCAATATATTTTCAATGGATTACGTACATCATAATCATAAAAACAGCATACTCAATTTTTATAGCGAGTAGAAAAGCTTTTTTTGTTTAAATTGCTATCGATCGGACGTATCTAGGCAATAGTTACGCTACTTTGCTACTTTTAATCTAGATTTCAATAGCAGATTTTTTAAAATATATAGAGAGAGAAAAAAATGGCGACAACTAAGTAAAGATATAACATTTGTTTTTAATGTAAATATTCTTAATAAGTATGCCGTTATTACCCATACAGCACAGAACGTTGTAACAACATTGCAACATTGTAGGAACATTGCGGCAATGTTGCAAATGTTGCTGCAATGTCCTGTGCTGTATGGGTAATTATTAAATATTTTTATCGCGATGACATTTATAACTTTATATTTATAAACTATATAAAATTGTCTCCAAACGCTTAAATTAAATGTCTATCTTGTTTATATATCAATCGAGTGTTATATCTCTGAAAACTTTAAATATGTATTTCACAGTCTTTTTCTAAATTTTTATATCATATAATAAGATACAAAATTTTCTAAAACATACAGAATTGTTTTAATACTGAAAAGTTAAATTCAACTTAAAATTCATTAATCTTGCAATGATTACGCACCATCATTGAGTCACGTAAAAGAATAATATAATTCAATGCGTGTTTTCAAGTTCATTATTGCGACACACATATTATGATTCTTTAGCTTCTCCCCAAAAAAAAAGGACATGTATCTAAAACGCGTGTACGTGCATTAATTTATAAATATAAAAAAACACATATTTTTCACACATGAGATATTTGTATTTCTTAAACGCACGGGATGCAGACTCAAGAGCAGTAGGAGCGCATATAGGTGTCTGTCTTGAAAAAAGAGATGAAACTACAGGATAGAATAGGAAAGAGCGAAATAAATCGTCGAACTCACCGCGTTCGAATTCTTGAACTATAGTCTCAGATGACGAGCGGTGATTGAGTGGCTCGCACGTTACGGCGGTAATGATGCGAAGTGTGGCGATACCGAGGGACCCTTTATATATATGGGAAGCCGCTGTGTCCTCGATGGGGGATGAAAGAGAGAAAGATGATGAGGGAGAGAGAGAGGGTAAACGCACAGGTGGCCGCGCGAAAGCGGCCACGCGGTCATGGGGCGCAAGCGTCCTCTTCTTGCCCTGCCCCCGTTCATCCCTCTAGCTCTTTGCCACCCTCTCGCGCGTCGAGACGACGGGAGATGGAAAGGACCTTTTTGCTGTCGCGATTATGCTCCGGAATCGTCTTCATTAAGAATTCTTTCCCATATCGAGCCACGGATGTCTATGACATAAAGTCGATGTCGACGCAGAATAGCTTCGTAGATTAGTCAGTCGATGTCTTACGGAATAAGACGCGCGTTTGGAGAGATACGCGAAAGAGCGAAAAGGCGAGAAAGAATTTAGAAATTTGTTTCGTGATAACAAGGTCTATCGATTTTTTCAAGATTACGTTTTTTCAATCTGACTGTGACAGACTCGTATAAGGTTGCACGAGATACTAAGACTAGTCATGATATTGTCTTGTCTTATCTCAAAATTGGAGACAAGATCAAGAGAAAATTTTTAATTAGTTATCAAGACAATATTAAGACTAAGATTGTCAAGATTATTGATTTTAAAAAAAAGCTAAAATATCGTATAATTTACAATTATACATTTGTAAATTAGATGAGAAAGAAATCACTATATTATATGCAAATTAAAAAAATGTTATTGAATAAATAAAAATATTTATATTAATAAATTTAGATACAGAAACAATTAATATAATATATTTTTATAAATATTGTCTTTTTATCTTGAGTCTTGTGCAATCGTAAACTCGTACATATTTTTTTAAGACGTGATGCATGTCCCATTTCTCTGTCAGAAAAATGTCATTCTCCTATAAATAATTTGTGTAATTAAAATATACGCAGGATATTTTTTACGATTATATTCTCCGAAATATTCTGTATATTAACGTACGTACTTTTATTTGCATATATATTCGATGATATAGAAGGCATAATTATACAAAAAATCTTATATTTTCTTTTTATATTCAATTTTATCTAGGAATAGAATTGTTTTTAGAAGTAATAGAAAAAATAATAGAAAGAATCCCCTTCACGTTCTTCGTAAAAACTCATTTTGTCTTTCTACAGTCATATTGTAGCCGAACTAGATCTATCTTTTTCTTTTTTATATATTGATATTGATTTTTATTATCCCTTTTATTCCTGAATTTACTTCACATTTAAACATTCTAAATCACGTGCGGAGAAAGAACCGGGGCTATTTTCCAGCTTTTATTACAAATGAAAATAACAAGAGACGACTGTTTACATAAATCTTTTTATTAATCATGTTGGTTACGTAAGCGAGCGCGTACGAGCTATTGTAAAGTCTGAGCGTTTTAACAAATATTATTACAATGGAATGTGGGACGTTGAAGCCGGAGATTGTTTTGTTATGTATAATCTACACAAAATAGAGGACCATCTTCACTAAAGATTCTTTATATATAGACGCACGATGGTTTTTATCCTAACGAGATCGTCCGCGATGCGTGACGTTTCCCTTTTCAATTTCACGTACGGATCTTATTTGACGATGCGAAGGCACATCCTCTCTCTGTCAAAGGATAAGAAAAGATTCTCGCGCTTTTGGAATGCGAAGATTGGCGAACGAGACAAAGCAAAAGACGTCTCCGCGGAAGATTTTATATGCGAGTTTTTAAATTTTACACGCTCCATTAGTCTGTCCACTTCGTTGATGAGTCAGACAGCATTATAGTGAATATTTTCATTATAGCATCGCATGCAGAAACGCTTCAATACATTTGGATAGCTTGTTCTTAGCGCGAATGTAATCACGAAAGATTATAAATAATAATCTAGAAAAACTGTCGTCGTCTTTTTAGTTTCGATATTAAACATCTCTATAATCGAGTTTTAAATTAAAATCGTGCGAAAATAAAATTATAAACTTGGAATCAACTGATGTCTATATTTACGCTGAAATTTATATTCAGAAAATTTTCAAATCTCCATTTGTTAAAAGCATTTCTAAATGAAAAAAAATTGCTGAAAATTAATCGAATTTATTGTTTTCATACGTACACATGGAGTAAAGTTCTTTTTATTCTTTTTTCTTTTTTAAGTATTTTGCGATTTTGTCGCACGGAATCTCGAGCGCGTATGACATGGAGCTGGGCAAAAAATGTTATTTATTTCAATGCACAATTCACAATCGGTGATTTTATCCTTCCTTCCATGTGCATTTCGCTTACTCCTACAGACATCTAAATTGAATATCTCCATTGAAAAACTCTACTGTATTTTCATACATTCTTTCATGCGGAAAATTCGCTTGTTAAATCACCGAAAAATGAAAATCTTTAGCCTTTCGATATTTTTACAATATATAATATTTCGCGAATCGCGATGTGCTATTGCTTTAATGATCGATTTCCTCGCAGTTACATAGCATTTTATATTGTTCTATTGAAATAGGTGTTTTATTTAATAGAAACTAATATCGTAAATAATAAAAATGTGTAAAATACTTTTCATTGTTAATAATTTTTGATTTATGTAAAAACGCTAATCTTGATTAAAAATCAATTATCTTCTACATAAAGTTAATTTAGTTGGTTGACTTATTTGTGACAAAATTTATATTATAGTCTACTCTTGTTATAACTTTACAAGAATTGTATCAAAATTTCTCATTTTAGATAATTGTATCATAATTTTCCATTAAAATTAAGTCCATTTTCAATTACTTGACTTTTCTGTACCGTACAAAATTGTGTTGTGTATCTCATTCTTTGTGAGATTAAATTTAATTCCTTAACGAAATTTTTTAATTGTATTTAGTCAGTTAAATAATTTAAAAAATTAAGCCTCGCTCGAGATTTCCTATAAGAAAATAGTCAATTTGAGATTCATTAGAGAATATTCTTCTTCTATTAATTTGTACCTTTTTTGGAGCTATTCTGTAATAACAATGGGAAACCGCGCATGAATTTGATAATTATTATTCGTTTATCAAACTGCGCGAACAACCGACTACTTCTTATTTAGTCTTTGAAACGAGATTAATCCTTTTCATTATCCCGCCTTTGAAGACTTTACTCTGTGTCTGCAAAGAGCGGACAGGCGGTAATCGACGATATAATTCTGAAATCACATAATTAATAAATCTTGATGCGTACAGTTATATTTTACTAGGTAATAAATAATCTTTTTCTAGGTTTTATTTTTATTATTAGAAAAAAAAATTTGATGATTTCTTTTTATTATAATGCAAATCTTAACTCATTAAATATTCTGTGATTTCCGTAAAAATTGGTGGGTGTATGTAATATCAAAAATATCTTGAAATTATTGACACGAAAAGAGTAAAATGTCTTATTAAAAAACGTCGTAATAATAATTTAACGAGAAACATTACATCACAGCGATTGCAGTGCGGACAAAGTATGTAATTGCCATTAATATACATAGTTTAATTATTAATAGAGTACAGACGTTTATAATTATTAATAGTATATTATTTAAAATTTATATAAGAATCCAATATTGAGATTAAAAATATATCCTGTAACTGAGAGAGAACAATAGTCGACAAAAATAAAATGAAATAATGCTAACATAAAATGTCCAATCTCTTCAATGTATATTTAATTTGCAAAACAAATGTATTTTCTAATTAACGATTTTTACAGTCTTGAAATATATATCTGTGATTTTTATTAACATCTAAAAGCAATTTTCTCATGGCACTTTATATAATTCTTTTAGAATTAGAATATTGAATTTATTATTGTTCTCTCAACTTCAAAATCTGGCGATAAAAAGATAAAGAAAATACTGACTTGTATTTTTATCATCATTATTTTAACCATTACTCAGCGAAGCTGTATAAAAGATGCTTATTTGTACTTTAAATTTATCTCATACATTTGCAAGATGAATATAAATCGGTAAACAAACATTTTATATGCATCTAATCTAAATGAAAAGAGAGAAATATATGTGTGTGTGTAAATAAAAAAACGGTTTCGTCGATTCCTGATTTATGTAAAATGCATTAAGCGTATTCGCACATCCAAATAAAGTTTATAAACAAAATATATATTACGACAGCGTAGAGTTTAATTTTTTAATATTTTAAATTTATTTTTTCGATACATATTATCTATTTTAGTAATTTATTTATTTGTTATGTTTTTTTTTTTCGAAAAATATGTTTGTTGAGATCGAGGAATTATTGAGAGGAATTATTGAGATAAAAAAGTCCTTAAGAACGAAGATATATAGATAGTGTTTGCCTTTAGTCAGGCTTATGATCAAAGTAATAATCCGCTATAAAATAGTTAAATTACTTTCGTAGCGAAAATAGTTAAATCCAACATTAAAAAAATCCTCACGTAAGCTTGTTAATAACTTTTGAAACAAATCTTTTGGGATTCTTGTCCTGACATTATTAAACTATTTGCTCTTTCTTGTATATAGCTCGCGTTCGCGTGAGATAAGTTTAGCAACGAGAGACATGAGCGGGTTCGGTTTGTATCTTTGCAATAAATCAAGCATTTTCCGAGAAACATTAATTCAATATTAATTCTTTTTTTTTTTGCTTTCCATATGTGCGGGGAAATGATCTTTCTGAAATTTTAATAGCTACTCCCGTCACGTTCTGTCCGAGCAACACCTGTCCGACGTTCTCCCGTTTTTTTCTTCTTCCTTTTCGGTTGGAAATGAGAAGAGGTCGACGGGACTCGATTTTCTGATGCGAGAAATTCGGAAAATAATTAGAACGTACATGAAGGAGATGGCCGTCACGTGCGTTCTCTCGTATTATGCGTGTCACGTTATATTAATTGCACGCAAGATTTAGAACACGCGCCATGTGTTTCCTCGTTTTTATACATGTAGCACGGGGCGGGACTCAATCAATTTATTTAATTAATCACCAGGAGAATTGTGAGATTGATCGTAACGAAAAAACGTTCG